TAGAAACAAATTATATTTAAACATAAATTTTTTATCAATTATTAAAAAATTTATATATGAACAAAAATAAAACAGAAATTATATTACATAAATAAAAAATAGTTTTCGTGCGGACGTAAAAGGTAAAATCTAGTTTATAAATATTGAGGAACAATGAATTCATCTTTGTTCTTAAAACAATATACTGTTCATTCTTTCTTTTTTAAGGAACAACCAATTGCATAGAACTAAAATATTTTAATAAAACTATAGAAGGAATAATAAAGAAAAAAAATATTCCTATTCTTTTTCTTTTCATTCTTATTATTCCTCAACTAATCACCATTCAGAACCATATAAATCTTTAAAACAGAACATATATTTATGGTCAATATTTTAGTTTTACTAGCTAAAATTTTTAATAGTTTTTGAAATAAAAAAGTTAATTTAAAAATTCATATGTCATCAATTTATAAAATAACAAATAAAATAACAAAATAAAATATAGTCAAATAAGAAGAAAAAGGTAAGGAAAAAAAGAGTAATAATTTTAAATGTTACCCTAAAAGAATTTTTTTTTTAATGTACTTTACATTTCTTTATAAGTGTTATGTAATAAATTAACCTTCTCTCATGTATTTTTTTAGGAGTTGTTCAAGGGTGGGAATTGCTCAAGTCTTATTTACGTGCTCCGTGTGAGGTAAGGAGAAACTTTTCCATCTAGTTGTACGATGAACTTGTATAGTTTTATCTTATGGCTTTTCTTTTAAACTTTGTTTCGAGCATTTATACGTTTATATTGTTAAATAATATCTGGGTTAAGTTAGACTCAGATTTTCTGATTGGTAGCTTCGAATTTCATTGCAATATTTCTTATGATTTTTTTTATGATGACTAGATATGATTTCGAGTTTGATTATCGGAAAATATAGATTTTGAATTTCTTTTTGTTACGCCTTTTGATTGATTTACATTGATATACTCTCTCTTTCTCTGAATAATTAAAAACATTATAGGTAATTTTAAAACATGGTCACAATGAGGCAATGTATTACGGATGCACGTGAATACATCAAAACTGTTTGGGATGAATTTCATGATAATCGTGAAATATATTATACATTTCTTAAGGTCATGAAGGACCTTAAAACTAAGAGGTATATTCTCACTGTTAATGATTGATTTCCTTCATAATGTTTTGTTATTATTTGTCTCCAAATAATAAGTTCATATTTGCCTCCCCATGATTTATGGAGAGCTGGAGAATTTGATGGTATTTTCATTGTAGAATTTGTAGTTGTTGTGTGAGAGCAAAGGTAAAAGATCTCTTCGAAGGCCACCAAGAACTGATTTTGGGTTTAAATAAATTCTTGCCAGAGTGTTATCTTATAACACTCGAGCGTGATTAAACTCCACGACCAATACCTGACTTCTGGGACGCTGTTAGTTTTAACAATAGGTCAAGGTAAGCACCTTCACCCATGCTAGAAAAAAGGGATGGACAATTCGATTATCGATTTGATTTGATTTTTTTTTTCTTCTCTTATTTATTCAAAAACTGAAAGCAAATTAACCCTAATATAAAATTATTTTCTCTTTTCATACTTTGCCGTTTTTCTATTAACCACATTTATCTGTAGGCAAGGTTGCAAGACGATCGTGCATACAGAGATGTTGCGCATGCAAGCTGAGAACAAGAAGAGCTTTGCTGAGTTCTACCTTGAGGTATATATGTGTGTAACTACTTTGTAAAGTGTATATTATTAAAACTGTTTTTTTTTTCTCTTTAGAATTCTCGTATTGGGTTTGATGATTACATACTTTGCAGGTGTATAATATCTTCTTCCGAGACTATCACGACTTGGGTGTGGAATTTGCTAACTTTCTCCCTCGTTATATAGAAGAGTGAAAGTGCGTTTGAATAAGCTGGGATGGGGAGTTTGTATGCAATAAAACCATGTTGTGATCGCTAGTTTGTTGTTGAACTCGTAAAACTGGTAATATTTCAGTTATTTTCATCGTTTAAATGGCATCCCTATTATATATGGACAACATAATATACACCTTATTTCTCAAATTTCTTATACAATTGTGCGCAAGATACAAGTTCCATTACCAAGAGATGGATTCTTCTACAATCTGGTGAATATATATTCTGGTATATTAGGTATCATAAATATAGTTCAAACATCTTAAAAATCATATATATTATAGTTGGATTTTTTCTTGAATCTATGTTATAAATTTAGGGTTTATTTCATATATAACCTTCTTTTGAAAAGTCAACCACCAAAATAACTTTTTTTTCCTATTTTTGCCACTTTGTAAATAGTTTATCATTCTCTCTTAAAGCATCTCCAACCCTGAATCCCTACTTGGACTTCTTTGAGATTTTTTTTATTATTTTTTTGTTTGAACAGTGATGAACCCATAATTTTTTGCACCTCCAACCCTGAACCTCTCCTTAAAGAGTGATGAACCCCGACCAAATTTTTATCCACATAATTTATTTACCAAAGGCCAATGGGAATATGACACATTGCCAATGAACTTCTAAAAAGACGGATTTGTCGGGTTCATCCTAAAGAGACGGGTTTATTGGAAAATTGGACTTTTGGATTTTTTAAAAAAACCCAAAAACAGTTGGACCCCACTGATGAACCCCTGATGAACCTGGATTGGAGATGCTCTTATATATTCACGAAAATGTTATTATATATCATTTATTTCAATTTTTAAAATTATTACACAAAAACCCCTTGGACCTCCTAAACCCCTTTTTATTACAAAATTTCATCTTTTTCAATACTTCCAACCACCATGAACAACCAGTTTCAAGATTTAAATGCTTCTCAACTGATTATTAAAGCTGTAATAACTAAATATTAGAGCTCATACACTCATAATCTTCTTTATTCTTTTCTAATTTCATCTCCAAAACTTCTGGGTTGATTTACAATGTCATAAGTGAAGTATTTTTGGTGATTCTTGCATAACCATGACCTGCGTTGTTTTTTTTTTGGTGAAATAGTTCAGGGTACATGAGAGACCTAAAAACGAACACAAAACCGATATAGGTAATGATACACTTTAATTTTGGTAATATCTATATCTGTATCGTGAAGTTTACTAATCAACATAAGGTTAGTTTTGCAGTTGACTTTTCAAAAATTTGTAACGAGTAGACTTCAGTAGATTTCAGGAGAAGTCTACTCGTTATCCTTTGAAAACAAAAAAATAAACTAGTAAACTTTGTTTGAAGTTGCGAGAAGTCGACAGAAAAAGAGGTTATTTTTGTTGTTGACCTTACTTTGACTTTTAAAAAGTTGCTCTCTTTATAAGTCTGCTCTAAAAGTCTAGTTTTAAGTTATTTTTGTATTTGACCAAAATCATTGAAGTAATTTTTGTGTTTGACTAAAATTAAAACTTAAAAAAAAAAATCCCAAAAAATAAAGTAGACTTCAGGATGAAGTCTAAAATCAAAGTAAACTTATTCCTGAAGTCTACTTCAATTTTCCTGTCAAACACAAAAATTACTTTTTTTAGTAAACTTCCCAGTGAAGACTACTATGAACAATCAATTACAAAAATAACCTATTTTAACCTGTAGACTTCTATTGAATCCAGTAGATTTCTTTAGTAGACTGTCAGAGAAGTATACTCATATAAGAAGTCTACTCCAAAAGCCAATGATCTGGTCAAATGCAAAACTAACATTTTCTATTGGAAGTCTACAAGTGAAGTCTAATATGATATAGTCAACATTTTGGTCAATTGCAATAATAACCTTTTTTAAGTAGACTTCTTTCACAGATTTCTACAGGAAAAAAGTAGACTTCTCCTTACTCATGAAGTCTAGTTGGGAAGTTTAATTTTTGTATTTACTTTAAAAATGTTTTTCTAAAGTATTTAGAATGTTTTTTTTTTAATTTTTAAGTTTGGACATGTGTGTTAGCAAGTGGTTGAACTACTCAATGATTTTCATTTGATTTAAGTCAATATTTATTGTGGAATCGAGTTTTTATTTATTTATAAGCTAGTTAGCTTGTTAAATTAGACTTCTCCAGCAATTTACAGATAAAGTCTGCACACGAAGTCTGCTTGGTATTATTATTTTAAAAACAATTTTATAGAATATATATAACAATTTTTTTTTAATTTTTAGGTTTTGGAATGTGTGTTACCAACTGGTCTAACTACTACACCCTCAAGGGGTTACTTTGTCACCTCCGACAATGAGTTTCATTTTTTTTTAAGTCGATATTTATTGTGGAATCGAATTTGTTGATTTAATAGCTAGTTAGCTTGGAAGAGTATACTTCGTCTACAGTCTACGGTTGAAGTGTGCAGACAAAGTCTCTGTGATTGAAATTTTTTGTTTCTTATGTGTTTGCGATAATTTGGTTCCCAATTTTGTTTTCTAAGATGGTTTATTAGGCTTACAAAAATTTCCAAACCTATCATCTATTACAAAAAAATATTGTACTTTAAAATTGTTGAAGTCTATGAAAAAATGGTTTATTTCTTATACCCAAAGTCAATACCTTTCCAGAAAAAAAAAAATGTCAAAAAGGAAAATCTGATTTTGTCTAAACTCTCTTATTCTCTTGTAGTAAAATGATCATCTATCTAGTTATTTAGGAGTTTGATATTTTTCCATTACAACACGTACACAGTATACCAAATAGTGATTACAAGTTCTGAAACATGCTTTATGAGATATTTTTCTTTTGTCAACTGTTTCTGAGATATTTTATTATCTCAAGTTGTGTCGAATAGAATGCATAGAAATCAAGCTAAAAAAATATGAACTACAACACTTGATTATAAAGTGACAGCAACATTACATCCAAGCCCAAAAAGGGCACGTCGTAAAAGAAGCAAATTTTGTATTTTTTTAAAGAGATCAGCCTCTCCTGCGGTTTAAGTATGGTTCTCTCTTGTAATGCTTTGAGAGATTCCATAGAGAGGGAAAAAGATTAACCTGTCTCTAAAAAATATTCTGCTTGCAAAAAGAGTCTTTAGAGTTCTTCACTTGATGCATTCCGCAAGCTTCCAAGCGTAGACAAGCACCATAGATCGATGCAGCAAACCTTTGGCGATTTGAACTTCTCTACAACCATAGATCCACCAGTTTTTGAAGCTCCAGCGTCGGAATCACCGCTTCTTCCATTCATCTTATCTCTAAGAAGTCATGTAAAAAGACTTATCAAAACAACAAAAATGCAAGCATACTTCTGAAATAACTAACAATTTTCTACAGCGAGAAAAAAACCAAATCATGATGACTGCAGAATACCAGAGTTTGGATGTGATGAACTGTGAAACCCAAACGCATTGGGTTTTGGTTTAATTTCCTTTTCCCAATTGGTTTTCCTCTTTTATTTGAACCAACTATAATCTCCTCCCTATAAATACCCATCTTAATCTCTTTTCCCTAACCCTAAACACAAAACTAAATCTCTGCCTCCTTTTCTCTCTTCTCCTGCGCCCCCAGCCTTCTCTTTCTTCTTCTCTCTCCCTCGTCGAGCGCTCTCTCTCTCCTCGCTGAGCCGCTGCTTCTCCCCACCGTGAAGCTTCCTCGCTGTCGTCTTCCTTGCCGCGAAGCCTCCAAGCCACCGCAGACCAGATCGTCGAGATGGAGACACCACCGAGACCTCCTTCTCCTGATTCCTCCTCATATGATGAGATCCTTAACCAGATTTCTGAGCCTCTTCCTCCAGCAGAGCCCACGTGAGGATTGTTTTCTATCCAAATTTGGTTCAGTGTAAGAGAAGACCCTCGTATCTCCTCACAATCATAAGTTGTTCATGTATTATTGCTAAAGAACTAGTGCTCAAACAGTTGTAAAGAACATGTATTTTTTTTTCTTGAATAAAATTTAACATATTATTCAAAAAAAAAAAAACTCCTGCATACTGTGATCTAGGGTGTAGTCTAGTTTGTTTTTAAACCCTGCTTTGTGTGTTTGATTGATTTATTGATGCTTGTTGTTTGTGATCTGATTTCTGGTCCTTGTTTGATGAGGATTAGGTTGCTAGAAGTTGTTAGAAGAAGTTATTGATTGATGATTGTGTGTTGATTGGCCTGAAACCTAAAATTGTAGATTGATTGATAGGCAACCTTGTTGATTGTTGGTAGATCGAGTTAGGTACTCGACACAGGCTTTCCTGTGGTTTGAGATTTCTTAGGTGGGTGGTTGTTTGGTGCCTATTGAACCAAGGGACTGATCGCTAGATGGTTGTGGCGAACCACACATTGTCTGTGTGACTAACGGTGATATGTCAGGTTCAGCATATCATGGGTGCAGACTTATCCCCATATTCTGGGAGGAAGGCAAGATAAGGTGCATCCTCTGTAGAGTTTTGCTCTTATTTAGAAATTAAAGTGTTTGTTTGAGAACTTAAAAGATGAATATTACCATGCCCGAGACATGAAATGAATTGGCAGGGGTTTGCTATGCCTTGAGCATGAAGGAGTTTTCCATGTCTTGAACATGATGAGAGTTTGCCATGTCTTGAACATGATGATGAGCTAAGGTGAATTGACGGATAAAATGGACTTAGTGAACCGGTTTGTTTGCTTGCTTGTGTCTGATGTATAGAAGATAGGAGTGTGCTTGAGCTTGTTTTAAAAATAGACTTCTCTTGATCTCTATGTCATATTATGCTGGAAGTGATATGAGCCTCTCAAGGTTCACTCACTGAGTAATTCCCTAATTACTCACCCCTCAATCTCCTTTTTAGGTTAGAACTGGATCTAATGTCTAACAGGATTGTTGCTACACGAGCGTTTTCGGTCCTGGCAGGCCTATGCTTCCACTGGACCAACCGGGTGGCTAAACAAATGAGGTTAGACCATCGACTTAACATGTCCAATTCTGATTATCTCAGGAGACCCCGGATTGGGATGTTACATGAACCTTTCCTCACGCTTAACAACCCCATCATCAAACAATTTCTTCAGGACTAACCCAGTGGCAAATAAAAACAGGTGTGTTCGGTCAGTAAATAAATCAAGATACAGGATAATAAAATAAACAAAAAAATCCAGATATGTAGGTAAAATAATATTGTTCGAAAATATTTCTTGGTCATCAAAACAGAGAGATACAGGATAATGGGAACATATCTATAATCAAAATTGGAACTTGATGAAACGAGCAAATCATGATCAAACAAGGCAAATAAATATGAGAAGTGTTAAGAACATAATTTCTTGCATCAAGAATAGAGATACAAGTATGAAACTAAAAACTCTGGAAATATTAACAACCATGAACCAATACAGCTTAATCTAACATTCTTGCCACCAAATAAACAATTCAGCATCTTAAACACAAGCATAGAAATCAAACCAACCATGGTGCAGGTTGATAAAACAATAAAACTGTAAAGGAAAATACAGAGAATAGATCATGGTTTAAACCGTATTTAGGACATCCGTTTTTTTGTTTGGTTCTACAAGATTATATTGTATTTTTATTATTATTTTAAGTTATTTTTACCAAATGTTGTACCAGAGGTCTACTTTTGTATTCAAAATCAATGTTTAGGTCATTTTTAGCAAATACTTCGTAAATTTACTTCTAATGATCTATATACTTATTTGTGTAGTGATTTGCTGATGTGTTGTGCTCACAACAAGTTTCACAATTGTTTCGCTTACGTGTCATTGCCAGAATGAGTTTCGGCTGCAAAAAGTTATTTTTACCCTATTTTGTTATTACGTGTCATTTTTTGATTGGTTCTTATGTGGTGATGTGTTAAAATAACTTAAACAAACCGCTATAAATTATTATGGTTTAATGCTTAATTTCACTATCAAATCAAACCGTTTTTAAAATTTTATTAAACTGAAATAAAAAAAATCTAACAAAGAAGTAAAAAAAAAAGAATCTATATATCTAACTAATGAAATGTTGGTAAAAAAAAAAATCATTTCTAACTAATGGAATGTCGCTTATTTGAATAGTGATTTTCTTAGGTGTTGGCTCTATAATGTTTTGCTTACATGTCATCTCCAGAATGAGTTTAAGCTGCAAAAAAATTTTTTAACCTCATTTTTAATTACATGTCATTTTTTGATTGGTTATTATATGATGATGTGATAAAATATCTTAGGGCTTGACTGGTTTAAAGGCAGCAATTGCGGTTGCGAGTGCGGGAGTTTGCGGAAGCGGATGATTGCGGTTTTGAACTTTATTCAGTGGTTTGCACGACTGGTTAAACTTTTTAAGGCGGATTTGTTTGCGAGACATTTTTGACTGGCAAATTAGCAATTGTTTTAGCGGTTAAACATAAAATTACCAAAATAAACATCATATATATTTATTAAAAAAAACAGAAAACTATATTATTATGATTAATATCAAAACTACTAGTTCAAAATAATTGATAAATATTATAAATAAATACTAAATAATTATTTTAAAAACTAATAATTTTTATAATAATATGTTTTATTTCAATTATTGGGAACATCATCTAAAATTGTGTCTAGTAATGTAATAGACTGGAAAAAATTTGCTTCTGGATTTCTCTTATGCATGATGTAAAATTTATACAATTGATCTAATCGACTTTTTGCACGACCCCAACTCAAATCAACTCCAAATTGCTCATTAGTATTTTTTAAAATACGTTTTTTTCTGGAGTGCACTAAAAAATCTAGGATATTTATCTTGATTTTGTTTTTTCACAATGATCCGATGAAGTAACACACATGTCATCTCGTTTAATCATGTAACTTTCTGAAGAACAAATAAAAAGAATTATAACAAACTAATTTTGTAATTATAAGATACATATTTATAATTTTTTACTTTAAAAATGGAAACAGAACAATTAATATAAATGAATTAAACCAAAGTATTATGGCACTTATGCTTGTATCTTAATTTTCTCCAGCTGATATGAAAGCCATGATTAGAGACTAGAACTTGATAGAAAAAGTGAGAGGTTAGAGTTTATATATATAGGAGAAAATTAGTAGGGTTAGTTTTTATAATTGTTTTTAACGTGATTTTCTATTTTTTTTCTAGCATGATTTTATTTTTATATTTTTACCCAACCGCTACTGCCCGCAATCGCAAACGCTGGCGGGAAGCAGCTTTTGGATTTCAGCGGTATAAAACGATACGAAGCGGTTTGCAGCAATATCTATGATTGTAATAAAACGCCACTAATTGCTACCAACCGCAAATGCTGCGTTTGCGGGTGATAGGGGGTAAACTAATCAACACCTTAAAACAAACCGTTATAAATTATTGTGGTTTAATGCTTCATTCTATTGTCAATCAAACTATTTTAAAAATTTTATAAAACCGAAATTTAGTAAATCTAACAAAAAATAAAAATCAATAAATAGTCTAATGGAATGACGGTATTTGTGATATCTAGATTAGGGTTTTTGACTTCAAATATTTTAGTATAAATATGTACGACTTCTTTTTAATTCTCTCACACCCTTCTAAATTGTTTAACTTCTTTTTTTTTTTTTGAATAAGTTCGTACAGTAGTTCAAAAAACTAAGCCTAAAATATACAGAACAATGATCAAAATCAAATAAGTTCGTACGATACTTAAAAAAACTACGTCTAAAATACATATAACAGTGATCAAAAGATCTCAAAACTATCTAAACTAAATTATTTAGATACTAGTATGTTTTTATCTATTATCTTCTACATTGTTTTCACGATCATGTCTTTAAACATTAAAATACAAGAAAATCTAATAAACAAATATACTCAACAATAGAGAATAAAAAACAAATAAATCCAAACTACTATTAGCTTTTCAAACAATAATAAAAAAAAATTATATCAGCCCACGCAAGTCGCAGAAAAGTTAACTAATTTATTTATAAATTCTCTAGGAATGAATACAGGTGTAAAACTTTCTTCTTCCTTAAAAATCATTTTATTGTGTCGACACCACATGTTTTCTTGACAATATTATCAAAAGTATATAGACTATCTTAAAATTTTGGTCCATACGAAGTTGGTAATAAAAAGTTCAAAATCTATTGACCAGTATATATATTGGTAATATTTTGAGAGAAAAAACAAAACAAAACTAACATGGATAAAATTTCAAGTTCTTAATGGAGATAACAGTGAATCGTTTGCAATCAATAATGACGTAGAGTTTTTCAGAAGGTGTGAAAACAAAAGGAAATAA